GTGCACCTGTTGCCTGGGGAGGAGAACCTGGAGTGGCCGAGGGAGTCCCGAGACGCGGGTTAAAAGCCTCTCCCTCCCTTTTGCTCCCTCCCCCTTCCCTCGAAGAAGGCACGCTCCGCGCGCTCCGCGTGCCACGAAGGGGGACCCCGCGCCGATCCACATGGACCGGGTGGACCTCCGCAAGTGAATGCTTATGCAGATTTTTCTTCTTCTATTCACGCCTCCTCTTCCTTCCCATCCTCCTTCATTCGGTGCATGCCTCTATGTCTGTATTGGGCCTTCGTCTCTACTAACACTGCCGCTTCTGTTACTGGTGCAGCTACTGATAGTGCTACTCTGAATGTCACAATCAGGTCATCCGATGTTCAAGAGAGTGGCTCTGGAGTGCGTCCCCCGCTCATGACTTTCTCACACTGGGCTCAAGAAGATGCGGCTTCCGCTCGAAGCCCCCTCACTTGTTCTGAAGAGTGCTGGTCCGCAAGGTTTTTCGCACAGTACAGACGGTGCCAGCGTGGACCCATCCCATGTTACTCTACGATCTATAGGGTGCAATCCACGGGTTGCAGTCGACGTGGCGCAGGTGGTACAATACGTATATTTCCTTCTAGATTTTTACAATCCAGGGAGGTGGGATCCCCCCCATGGCCATGGGGGCCTCCTGGACGCTCCTGGAGAAGGTCCCCTGAGCTGGGCCTAGGCAACGGGCCCAGATCGGTCCAGAGGGCGGCCGAACGGCCCCGCGAGAGTCCCAAGAGTCCCCAGACACCCACTGGAGGCCCAAAGACGACAAAAAAGAGTCCCAAAAAGCTTTCGAAGGGCAGAAAGCATGGATTTCTCAATAGTTATCGTACGATTTTGGGAACACTCTGTTCTTCGGCCTTTGGGCATCGAGACCGCCAAGGAGGCCAGAAAATCGATCCCAAACCAACCAAAATGGCTTCAGGCAGTCGAAGAGTGAGTGCCCCAAGACGGCCCAACCGGGCCCTAAGATGGCTGGAAGAAAGCCCCATAATGGCCCAAGATAGCCCCAATCAGAACGATCATGAGGAAGCGGAAGGGGAACATGAGGGAAGGATAATGCATAACAATATCATGACGACGATGTCGGAACAGGCAACAAGGCCTCCATCAGCCGGTTGACGAAGCATGCGGAACACCCCAGAAGCTCCTCAGATGCCGTCGCGCGCTTGTGCTTGATATCGTTGTCCAAGATCGTCCAGCGCCCCCCTGGCCTGGGCTAGAACCTGAGCGCGCGCGAAGCGCGCGCGATGGTTCTAGCCCAGGGGCCCGAAAACAGCTGCCCGACCCTCCAGTACCGGGGCTCATTTTCGCTGTGCTTTTACGCGGTTTCGGCGTCCTGGGCCTCGAAGGCCGCCGCGATGCTCCCGGACATTTTCCAGATCCTCGGCGCGGGCTCCAAGACCATTCCGCAGAGGGCTCCAACAGGCTCCAGGGCAGCCCAAGAGGGCTCCAAGACGGCTCCAGGAACGACTGCAGGGTCTCAGTTTTTCTGTGTTTTCTGCAAGACGGCTCCAAGAAGACTGCATGTCTTATGAGGATGGCTTCCGCCTCTTGCCCCGAGCATCCCAAACTGCCTGAACGGTCTCCACTCGCCTTCCCCAAACCCAGCGCTTGCCCAAGCGCGTTCCGGACGGTCTTCGCCGGAACGCGCTGGAATGATCACGCGCTGTGGTTTCCCATGCCAACGTCCTCGGACGTGGGCGCCCTGCCACGAGCGCGTTCCGGGCAGATGCTCCCGGAACGCGCTAAAAAGATATGGCCACATCTCGGGGACGCTCCCGGCACCGCTGCCCCAGCCTTTCCGGGCAGCCTCCACAGCGCTCCAGGAGGGCCCAAGACGCCCCCCAGGGGAGCCCCCAGAATGCGAAAGGATGGCCCAAGACGCTCCCGAGCAGCCCAAGTCAGCCTTCCGACGGCTCTCGAGGCTTCCAGGTGGCCTCCAAGAGACCCCAAGAAGTCTGATAGGTATCACGGTACGGCCCGAAGAGGCCACAGTCGTATATGTTCAATGGTCTTTTCAATGTTTTTTGGCTTCTCGCGTTTTCGAGCTTCCAACGGTCCAAGAGCGCCGAAGAGCCGCCATGGGGGTACCGGGGCTCATTTTCCGTGTGTTTTTACAGGGTTTCCGCGTCCTGGGCCTCTGAGGCCGCCGCCTCCGACCCCCCATGGGAGGACGGGGCGGCCGGGGAGGTCCAAAATAGTCCAGGAGGGCCTCCAGAGGCTCCCAAGATGGCCCAAGCGGGCCCCGAGTCGCCGAAAGACCGCTCCAGGACGCCCAAGATAGGCCCAAGACGGCCCGAGAGGCACCCCAAGGCACTCCACGACGCTTCAAGACGCCTCTCCAGAGCGCTTCCAGAGGCCGAAATCGTCAATTGTACGAAGGTTTTCGAACGATTTTGGCCTGCCAGCCTTTTCGGCTGTCCGACGTTCCAAGACGGCTCAATAGGCCCCCAAGGGCGCCCCAAGACGGCCCAAGAGGGCCCCAAGACGGCCCCAGAGTCGCCCAAGACAGCCCAACAGAGCCCCAAGACGGCCCCAAGATGCGCCCAAGAGGGGGACCACGACTCCAAAATTCGACCCTCCCGCTTGAAGAGTGCCCCAGGAGGCCCCAAGGAGCCCCCAAGAGGCCCCAGGAGGCCCCCAAGAGGCACCCAGGAGGCCCAAACGAGGCCTAAAGAGGCTACAAAACAGCCCCGAGGAGGCCCCACAACGGTCCCAAAACGGCTACCGAGAAGCTGCGAAACTGCCTTCACGACGTCCCCGACAGGCCAACCACGAGATCCACACCAACACCCATGAGGCCTCTGACCCACCACCCAGGGCACGGTGGCGGGAGCAGTGACAGCACTTGTGCACAGCATGTTCCGGCGGGAGCCTTCCGGAACACGCTGCAGGAGGAGGAGGAGGAGGAGGATCAGGAGGAGAGAGAGTTGGAGTGGGAGGAGGAGGAGGAGGAGGACGAGGAGGAGGAAGAGGCCTCCCAGACAGCTCCAAGATAGCCGAAGAGGCTTCCAAGAGGGCCCTGCGCGGCCCACGAGGGCCCCAAGGCGGTGCCTGAGGCGCCCAAGACGGCCCGAGAGGGCCCCAAGACGGCCCCAAGAGAGGCCCAAGAAGGGAAACACGAACCGAGAATCCGAGCTTTCTACCCCGAGAGGTTCTCGGGAAGTCCCAAGAGGCCCCCAATCGGATCCAAGAGGCCCCCAAGAAGCTCCCAAGAGGGCCGACGAGGTTCCAAGAGATCTCCCAAGGTGGCCCCAAGAGGCACAACTCATTGTTTTACGATTGGGCTTTGACGGGTTTTAATTTTTTCGGCCTTTTGGCATCCCGATGCTCCAAGACGGCCCAAGAGGCTTCCAATACCGCTCCCATATAGAGGAAGAGGACTCCAAGAGGGCCCCAAGACGGCCCGCGAGGGCCCCAAGACGGTGCTTGAGGCGCCCAAGACGGCCCGAGAGGGCCCCAAGAGCCCCAAGAGAGGCCCAAGAAGGGGAACGCGACCCAACAGCAGATCGGTCCCCCCACAAGGCCCACAGGAGGCCGCAAGAGGCCCCCAAGTGGTCCGACGAGGACCCCAATAGCTTCCCGAGGGCCTAAAAGGCCCCTAGGAGACGTCCAAGAGGCTTTAAGATAGCCCAAGAGTGCCCTCGATGCGTCAAAACTGCTTCCAGGAGGCCCCCGGGAGGCTTCCGGATTGCCTCAATCTGGCCGCAGGTGGCCTCAAGTCGGGCTTCCACGCAGCCAAGACGGCCAATGACGGCTTCAGATTGCAGAACCGATGCCCCCAAGGGACCCTCAGACGCCCCCCCAAGAAGCACCCAAGAGGTGCCTCCAACAGCCAGTTGACGAAGCATGCGGAACACCCCAGAAGCTCCTCAGATGCCGTCGCGCGCCTGTGCTTGATAGCGTTGTCCAAGATCGTCCAGCGCCCCCCAGGCCTGGGCTAGAACCTGAGCGCGCGCGAAGCGCGCGCGATGGTTCTAGTATATATATATATGTGTATATATATATATATTCGTATGTATGTATGTATTTATGTATATCTCGATGTATGTCCATATGTACATAGTTGTGTATGTATGTATGTATGTCTAGATCTCTATATGCAATTATACATGTGTATATGTATGTATGTATGTATGTATGTATGCATGCATGCATGCATGCATGCATGTATGTATGTATGTATGTATGCATGCATGCACGTATGCATGCATGCATGCATGCATGCATGCATGCATGCATGCATATATCTGTGTATGTATATATGCATGTAGGTATATATGTATGCATGCACGCATGTATGCATGCATGCATGTATGCATGCATGTGTGCATGCATGTATGCATGCATGCATGCATGTATGTATGTATGTATGTATGTATGTATGTATGTATGTATGTATGTATATATATATATATATGTATGTATGTATGTATGTATGTATGCATGTATGTATGTATGTATGTATGTATGTATGCATGTATGTATGTATGTATGTATGTGTGTATGTATGTATGTATGTATGTATATATATATATGTATGTATATATGCATGCATGCATGCATGCATGCATGCATGCATGTATGTATGTATGTATGTATGTATGTATGCATGTATGTATGTGTGTATGCATGTATGCATGCATGCATGTATATATGTATGCTTGTTTGTGTGTATGCGTGTGTGTGTGTGTGTATGCGAGTGTGTGTATATATACTTATGCTAGAAACATTGCGCGCGCTTCGCGCGCGCTCAGGTTCTAGCAGGCCCCAGGCCTTGATGGGTTCACTGCTCCACTGATGAAGTAGTTGACCACAGTCCACGCATGCCAATCTGCATTCCGAAAGGCCTTCGAGGAACGTGGTTGTGTAGGGGGGCGGAGGCCGTATGAGTCGGGTTCCCAGAAGGCCTTCTGGGAGCATGGGTTTGGGGGCGTCTTTTGGAGCGTGTTGGGGCGTGCCGTCGTCGTCGTCGTCGTCGTCGTCGTCGTCGTCGTCGTAATGTCGTCGTCGCCTATTGGGGCGCGCCGTCGTCGTCGTCG